CAACACCATGCTTTGCCTAGGAGAACTCCAAGAGCTAAACATTTCAGCCATCTCCCTCAGATTTTTATGGTTTACAAAAGTTTTCCCCTGCAGACCAGCCACAGGAGCTTGCCTGGTTCCCACCAGGCACTGGATTCTCCAGCAGCCCTTTTTGCACCTTCACCTTGGACCTCACCCAACAAGATGTTTCTGGATGAACAAGCATTTGCAGATTGCCTTCACAGGGTGCAAAAAGCTCAGGGTTTTCCTGCTCCCTGCAAGCTTAGTTATCTTCTAGGCCATTCATTTAATATCTCAATTACACACTATCTGGTCTTCATGCCCTGATGTGAAGGTGCTCTTTTTAAAGGAAACATTTCTAGCCAAATATTCCAGGTCCTAAGAGATCAATTCCCCAGGTGTGACTTCCCTGGGCAGGGCTGTGCTGATTGATGGCAGCTGGAGATGTAGCTGATTATACATGTTAAGAACATGTGCTACAAAAACAACAGTTGTTTGTGGACTTGAAAAAATTATGCCTGTTGGAGAAAAAAGAAACAAAGCAAATATCAGCTTAAGCAGAAGTAATGAGTGTGCTGTGTAAAATTTTGAGGACTGTCTTGATGTGAGCACACAGGCCCTCAAAGTGTGTGCTAACAGCAACTGAAATTTTTCAGCTAAAAGAGAATTTCCCATGACACCTCCTCACTGTGGAATGTGAACTGTGGTATAAATATAAGTGGATTAAGTCTCAAAAGGTTGTTTGTTCATTGGCAGTATGTCTCAGTCACCTAGACTCCTTTAGCTTCTTGATCTTTTTACAAAAACTCTTTATTTGATCTGAATTAAAAACAGCTCCCCATGAAGCCATTACTTCATGGCTGGAATAAAACTTCCATGTGATCCCATATCAACTTGTAGTCTTTTTAAATCTGATTAGGTGTTTTTGTTTATGTGTAAATTCACGCATATGAATTTATTAATCTGGACCAGTGACGTTAAATTAGATGTGTCATTGCTCTGTTCTTCTTTTCCCTAGCCTATTATTCTCATGTTTTGCTGTGCTCTGCAGATCAAAGGAAAATGCCAAAGAGATTATATGGAAAAGGAGTGTGTGGGGGAGAAAGATGACTGTGCTCCACGTAGTCTCAAACATTGAAAAGAAACCCATCCACATGACTGTTCTTGTTACCACAGCAGGAACACAAAATCTTTATTTAATCACAAATATTTCTTAAACAAAAGGATAATTTAGGGCTCTAGGATTGGTATTTTGTAAGAGTTTGGACTAGCAGGGCTACAGTTCTCATCCCTCTCCTCAGCCTTTGGTCTGCAGTAGCCTCCTGGGTGGCATCATGGAAATCAGCAGATGGGACAGTCCTACTCAAGATGAGCATGTCTGATGCCTTTAGCCTGAAAAAGACACTTTCACAACCTTGATCTCCCAGTTTGGTTCCTTCATTACCATTGAAGGAACCATTACCATTCATTGGAATTCATTGGAAGGAATGAATTACCATTCATTACCATTATTCATTACCAAGTGTCTGAAATATAAGCTCATGGGTCCTTGATACAACAGGGACTTGCAGGGCATGCAGGTGATGTTCTGAGAACCTGAAAAGTATTTTGGAGTGGCTGAAGCCCGTGACAGTAAGGTTAAAACTGCAATGGAAAACAGCATTTATCTTTCTGAATAAATACAGGTGCTAGCAATACCCAATTTGTTTGTTTTGCTCTCACTTTTTGCCACACCAAAGAAAGAATTCATCTTGGGGTTTTATTTTCATATGCACGTTTTGTTTACATAACCAGTATGTTTTATCAGCAACAACCAATGCTAACTGACAAAGCAAGAGGGAAATTTTCATTCTGTGCATGGTGATATCACAGAAACAATGTGTTTCAAGCCTTGTACTTCAAAAATATGCCTGTGAGGAATGGAAAAATCCAGGCTCATATTGTAAACACGTGAGTCACAATAGCTATTATCTCTTAAGAAATGGCATTCCAGTTTTTTGATTCAGTCATTGATGATTTCCCTTTTTAACTTGTGGTGCTTTCTTACCCTTTTAAGAAACATCTGGGCTAACCCTGGTTATTTGTAGAAATGTTTGCAATTCACAGATTAAAAGAAATTAGATATAGGAGGGACCCATGAAATTATCTTGTCCATTTCCTGAAAGCATAAGAAATTGAGAAAGAATTGTGTTTAATACATATTTATAAAATGTGGAACTTTAGCTTTTATACAATATGAAGACAAAACATGTCACAAAATTTCAATTGTAAGGGTGCTGAAACGTACTTTTATAAAAAAAGAAATTAAATAGATGACTAGCAAAAGCCCTAATGAAGTTTGTGTGAGATTTTCCAGTTCTTTCTAGGCAGCTACCTTTCTGGAATTTGTAGATAAAATTGAAAAAATCTGGTTTTGAGCAGTTTGAATTTGATTCCATTTTCTAATGAGAGAGAGCTTTTAGCAAAAATAATTCCCTTTAGAAAAAATAATTAAAACTTCTGATGCTTATTAGGTTTTTGGGCTATTTTATCTCCCTCACCATCCCCTACCCTTCTGTTGTTTCTCTTTTTAAAAAAAATTGAGTAGTGCTGTTGCCAGAATGGCTTCTCTTGGAAGTCTTTAAGGAAGTCTGAGACTGTACAAAGCACACAGCAGCAGAGGATGGGTGTTTTTGGAATGGGAAGAGTGTTAAAGTATAAGTAGCCTTTCTTGTTTCATCCAGGTTCCTGAGTCAGAGGCAGCAACTTGTGTTTAAAATCATTTATGGACCTTTTGCTACTGCTCTGTGATTTCGTTCCAAGTTTCTCCATTCTCATATTATCAGAAAAAGCAAAAAGTCCTTCCCCATTCACTGTCTTCACAGAGCTCATGATCATCTGGACCTCAGCTTAGAGCCCAAAATGTTCCCATCTCCAGTTTAGAGACCTTGTCTGTGCCCTTCCTGATCAGCCACTGGCTTTTGCTGTCCCCTTGAGCACTGAGACAGGTCTCATTCTGGAGAAACAAAAATGGAAAGGACAAAAAAATCTCAGAGAATTCTCTGGCCACCCATATTGATGTCATTTATAGAAAGGGAAATTCTATTTGCTCGCACTGGTGCTGAGTCACAAAGTGTTGGGCATGAGAAACTCGATTTGTGGGAAAGCTTCTAATTTCCTGTTTTTCAGGAGGAAGGGGATAAAGCAGATGACATGGAGAGGAGAGGGGAAAGGGAAAAGGAGAATAAATCTAACAAAAGAAGAGTGTCAGAATATCCCAAACTCCAGGAAGGATAACTCATCTTAGCCCTGCTTGTTCAAACCAGCAGTAATTCAGGGCATAATGTACAAGCTTCAGTAAATCATTCCTGTGTGATAGACTGTGATCAATGACAATTTAATGAATTCATTTTAAAATGAAGTCAGAATAGGAGAGACAGTAGTTATTTGAAAGCGTCCTTTACTCAGAGAAATTGAGTCAATAAATATGCTATTTGTCATGCAGAGTCCAGTTAGAGTTTTGTTTGCTAACAAAAATGCTGTCATCACAGAGACTAATAGATGCAAACTATCTGGAACTATCCACTGTAAATAGACAAATACCATCTGAAAGCAGAAAACAATGGTTGTGGCTGAACAAAGAATGGGATCCTGCACACGTTGCTGAATGAAAGAGGGTAGCCCACCTCAAATTCTACTATTTTGTTTGTCACCAGAGTGTGTTCTGATTGTGTATGAATGACCTGGTGGTGGCAAAAATACAAGGTCTGTGTTTCTTCTGTGAAATGAGTTTTAATTGTTGCGGAGTGAGGGCTTCTCTTGCTGGAAAAATGTGCCTCTAAAGTCACTTTAAATTGCAAAATACGGCTACAGTGAACTTGGATGGATTTGTGCAGGCTACTAGAACAGGAATAAGCTTCATCCTTTTACAGGCAGTAGTTTTACATTAATTTTCACAGCTATCCATGTTGTTTAGTGCAGATACAAGAGGACTTTTTGTTCGGCTGTGCTTTTCACGCTTGGTTTTATTAATGTAAGTTGAAGAGATGTGGCAATTCTTACTTGTTTTCATTCAGGCAGAGACTGGAAGTGTTAACTAACACTGAAGTACCATCAGGACAAGACAATCAAACTTCACAGGTTTGGGTTAGAATCATAGAATAAAAGAATATCCTGAGCTGGAAAGCACAAGGATCATCAAGTCCAACTCCTGGATGTTCAAATTGGTCTTGGATGAAAGGAGCCTGGTTTTCAGACATGACAAACTGGCAGCAGTGGCTATTCAGCATCTTAGAAGCTTGGTGTGCTCTCATGAAGGTTCCAGAGCTTTTCCAGGCACATTTGGGCTTCCATCATTCTTCAGATTTCAGGGTGTGGAAGAAAAAATTCTCAAAAGTCCTGAGAGATATCTTGAAGATGGTATTTCCTATCCCTAAGGAAAATCAAAATTATGTTACGGAAGCCTAAGACAGAGATTATGAAGAATTTTTATGGGATCTAAAAATCTAAACTTCACCCTTCACTCTTTAAATTTGGAATAGAACAGCTGGGGCATTTTTAGATTTTGCATCATGTGGCCAAGACATTAGCTGGTTTAAATCTGCCTTGCAGTCATCTTAGGAACATTGTTCATCCACTCCCAGAGCTGCATTTCCAAAAATGAGTTAGGAATCTACATCTCTGTGGCTTTCAATGAAACTTAAGCTTGTGTGAATCTAAGTTACTTCTTAGTTTGGATTCAGGATCCCAAATGACTGAAGAACTGAAGAATATTTCGCAGTCTATCTATAAAGTCTGTTTAGATTTGGTCATGTGTGATTCCTTATTGAAATTACAATTTCAGTCATTTTTGTTTTCCTTGATGTTCTATTAACCACACAGAAACAGACGAAGGCTTTCCTGATTATATATAAAACAAGTTACTTGGGGGTTGAGGTTTGTTTGTTTTTTTTTAATTCTGACAGCTCAGTTCCTCCTGATTTTCTCGTGCCGCTAACTTCTGAAAACTTTCTTTATTTCAGCTGTTTCCACTACTAGGAGTAAAGACCAGTAAAGACAGAGCAGGATGAAAAGATGGCTGACTTCTTGTTACCACCGGGTACTAACAGCTTCCACCGGTTCACGCCCGAGTCCTTGGCTGCCATCGAGAAGCGAATTGCAGAGAAGCTCGCAAGGAATGCCAAGCAGGAATACAGAGAGCAGCTGGGCGAGGAAGAGAAACCTCAGCCTCAGTTTGACTTGCAAGCTTGCAAGAAGCTGCCTGATATCTATGGGACTGTTTCTCCAGAGCTCATTGGGGAGCCCTTGGAGGACATCGACCCTTTCTATAATGATCGTAAGGTGAGCACCAACCCTCTATCCTGCTCTTCTGCCTTTGCTGAAGCATGGCTGCTGTTTTGAGTGCTCTGTTTGTTATCTTTCTACAGCCAGTAAAAATATTTCTGTCCCAGATTAAGGATCAGAATGTTGGCATGAGCAGGACTCCCAGAAAACATCTAAGCAGTAGGGAAAAGAGGGATAAAAAACATAGTTTAAACTTGCTTTCAGATAACCCTGAGTATGAATATACAATATCTGAAATGAGCAGAGCAGTGGCTGAGTTAATTTAAGCCAGAGGTTTTTATCTGCCCTATCTTGCCTTCTGCATGAGCTGTGACTCTTCACAGGTCTGTTGTTTATCACTTAAGCCCCTTAATGTTAAGGGCTTCTGGGTGACTTGAGCCTTGTGCGAGCACTCTGCACAAGAGCAGGAGGCACCTTCACGGCTGTTCCTGGACAGCAGAGGTTCTGTTCCCACTGAGAAAGAGCAAAACTCCATTTAAGATGACCAAAATAGAGCTGAAGGGAGGCGTGAGCAGCATGTGCAGTGCTGGCACTTTGCAGAATGGTGAACTTTGTCCCAAAGCGAGCATCACCTGATGAGGGATCACGTGCGGGCTGGACCAAAGCCACAGCAGTGCAAACAGCTTCTGTCAAAAGGCTGTTGACAGCAGAGCTGGGCTGGTTGCTTACTACAGTTCATTCCCCTTTCCAAGCATTTCACAAAACAGAGGACAAAATAAAGCTTGGAAGCTGTGTGTATTTTTATGCAGATTCCAGTTTTTTCAGGTACTGCTGTTCCTGATTTTGGGCTATGCTATTTCCTGTAAAACAATGAATTAATGTAACCATATTGGTACTTCTATTAAAACAGTGTAGAGGTAGGTGATAGAGCTACAGAATAAAAGTTAAATGGATAAAGACAAATAAGATTACTTACCTGGAAGGGCCAGAATTAATTTACCTTTTAATTTGCCTGCTATCCCCAGGAATAAACAGGATATAGATTTGCAATTTTAGTGCCATGAAGTTTTTAGACTCGAGGTGCCTGAATTGCTTAGATTTTATATATTGGGTGTCTCAATTCTGTCTCTAAGTGAATATTATTTCCTCTATGCATGGTGGGACATCTTCAGAGCTCTGCAAATTGGGTTAGTATCCAATTCACTTTTGTTTTGGATTTAAGATAGCTCAGAGAATTGTTTCTCTCTGGCCATATTAATCTGAGCACAATGAGAGTGTTTCAGTGCCAAGCTCAGATCCTAGTGTGGAGCTGTGTCTCCTACAACTTCTTACTTGGTGAGACAAAATTGAGAGCAGTAAAGTGTTCAAAGTAGAGAAGTTGGATCAACAACATGGTGAGATCTGCAGCACCTGGGAAGAAGAGCATCATACAATTCCTTCCACTACATTTTAGTCTCCAGGTAATTTTTATTATTAAAGGTGATTCTGCTCTCAGCCCCATGGCAGAGGTGATGGCACAGGACCCAATAAGGGTTGAAGAAAGAAAAAATACTTGGGATATTACAACAGGACAGTCAGTTCTGTAAGGGAAATCCTTGGACAAAACTTTTCACCAATTAAGAAGGATTTTGTGGGTCTTGGGAGGGGGGCAAAAGTATGGGATGCTGGCAGGAATTTCCCAGTGGGATGTGGGCTGGAAAAGCTGAGCATAAATGCAAATACTGAATGTTCTCATTTTCTATTTTGTTTTCCAGACATTTATAGTACTGAACAAAGGGAAGACAATCTTTCGATTTAGTGCCACTCCTGCCTTGTATATACTTAGTCCTTTCCATCCAATCAGAAGAGCAGCAATTAAAATTTTGGTACATTCATATCCTTTCTGTTGATTTTCCTCCTCATGTATTTTATATGGGTTTTAAACACAGATGGATGGAAGTCAGAAACCATTTTATTTCATTAAGCTGTTTTAAATCTTTTGGCTGAATTTGCCTGCACAAGCAGAAATGCACTTGGATTTTCGGTTTGTTTCATTTTATATTGTTATGTGAGCTATAAAAATGACTGTATCACACTGCTGGCATCAGATAATGTGAACTGCACTGGAGAGTCTGGTGAGTTTACTCAGGATTAAAAGATGGGAAGGGACTGATCATTTTTACTGAAGGGAAAGTGGGTGTAGTACCTCAGAAAGGAAGGGAACCAGGGGAAATCCGCACTGATGGAGAGCACTGCTACCAAGCACTTCAGCAATCCCTCCCAGAGCTAAAACTCAGGGACACAGTCTGCAGACACAATTTAATTTTTAAATGCTTCAGATCTGAATGTTTTTTTCTCCTGAAGCAATATTTCAAAAATTGTTTTGTAGATTCTTTTCTAGTTTGTGTATTTGGATATGTTATTCAACAAAGGAAAAAGGCACAGGCTGTCCTGCTGGACCTGCCAATGGAAGGGCAATGCCTGATTTCCTGTAGCTCTTGTTCTGAAGTCAAGCAAGACACACTGCAGTGGTTGGTTTGGGCTTGTTTTTTTTTCACACAGGCCCAGAAACTTTATATTCTGACCTAGTCATATGTCTCTCTGGAAGGCCAAACTGACCCAAATGTTCAGCTTTGTGTGAACATTACTAAAAACACACCTTTTTTCATGACTTGGCTGCTTTCTCTAGGGTGCACATGGGATACCAGGCAGTGATAATTCAAAGACTTCACATCCTGCTCTTATCATTCAGTGATGTTTTAGTGATGGAAATCCCTCATCTGCAATGCTCATGTCCACCGCAGAGAATTAACAAATACTGAGCAGGTAGTATCTTAGAAACATCGGTTAATTATCAAATTTCAGTGAAAACAAATAGGAAAATAAATCAAATTCCCACTCCATAGAGTGAGAGGTGATACTATAGATATTCTATCAAAAGGAAAAACAGGTGAAGATTCCGATTGCAATAATTCTATGCAAAAATGAATATGTGTTGTCAGCCAAGATATTATTATGGTTACTAAGAATTCACTGTAGAATTCTGCAGAAAGATTAGCTGGTGGATCAGATTATGTGTACACACAATGCAGCAGCTGCATACATAGAGCCCAACCAAGTTTTTTAGGCACAGTTACCTCAGCACAGCCTTGATGAAGTTAATCAAGGTCAATGCATTTGCCCAGGTGTGGCCAAGGGAAGAATCTGAAAACTGAGCTTCTTAGAAAGAAATTGAGAATATTGCCTCCAGCTTTGGAGATTTGTTCTGTCTTCTCACTTTTTTCTACGTTGGCTGGTGAAGCCAAGGGGTCACAGGAATGTGTAGCACAGGAGCTACCTGCCCTTGGTAGCAGTCAAACACAAGGTAAATAAGCAAGAAATCCTTATCACTTCCAAGGATAAAGACAACAGAGGATAGCATTTGCAATGTCTGTCTGGAAAGAAATATGGTCAGATGAGGAGTGTAAAATTTTGGGAGTGGCAGGTCTCAATGCAAACATAAGTTTAGCTCCAAAAAGAAGGAAATTATCACCTTGTGTTGATAATGTTTAGAGATCCAACAGCTCAGTCTTTGACAGGCACTGTCAGGAGACAACAACTCCAGTCCCAGTGAGACAGCAAAGATCCTGCATTAAGCAGTGATTTGTTTTCTGTCAATAAAGACCTTTTGTATCAACCTGAAACACAAAGGCCAAGTGGCTGAGCAGGCAGTCAATATTCCAGGCAGAAAGGAGCCTGAACCCGCAAGTACTCAAGCAGATAATATCACAGACATGGACCTGGGAACCAAATCTATCGTCTTGCGTGACTGTAATCAAGCAATCTTTATTTTCCCCAGGGCAAAAGCCTAAAAGGAGCATTAGCAAATGGTGCCCTGTCACGTAAATATCTGAAGCAGCTTCTTTAGTGGATGCCATATTTCAATTTCCAGCCATTGAGCGCACCATGAAGGCCAACAGTGGAATAAAATAGAGAGGACAGAGTAAAATTGTCCTATAAAGAAGCTGTGGGGGTCATATTTATTGGTTAAGTAGCTTTTTGTGGAGCTCTTCCTCTGAGATATCCGGCAGGATAGATGCAATGTGTTCACTGCTCATCCGGCCAAGCCTGAGAAGTTTAGTCTTTCAAAAATACACCTTTCCATGGGGAAAAATCTTCCACAGCCTCCTAGTAATGTTTGTTACGACTAAAATTGTATCTTTAAAGCTCTTCTAGGTATTTCTCTTCTTATTCAGGGTCTGTGAGGCCTCATGAAGGGTGCAGGGCCCACATGGCTTCCCAGAAGGTGGCCCTGCTCCATTCCTGCCCCAGAGAACATGGGGAGTGCAGGATTGTATCCCCAATAGGATGAACACTTTTTGTCTTCTGCATCATTATTAGCTGTTATTAACATCTTTATTAACTATCTCCACCTATTAATGAGATTAAATAATTGGTAATGTTTCCTTGATGACTTTTGTTTAAAAGATTCCTCTTAATTCTTCTTGCCTGCAAGCCAAGCACCATTCTGTGTTGTCCTTAGTTTCTCCAAGCAGTTTGCTAGCCTGTATAAAATATGTAGGAATTGTAATTTCTAGTTTTTCTAGGTTTTATAGCTAGTTTTTCTCAATTTACTACTGATCCAAGCTGGAGGTTTGGCAAAAATTACCTTTCTTGGTGCTAAAATTATGGATTTTGGTGTGTCATAAAAATAATCTTCTTACAGAATTTCCAATCTTTGTTCATATTTTCTGCTTGCAGTTTTCCTCCCATCTGATTTTGCACACTTTCCATAAGGCAAAATGAGACCTTGTGAAGCACCAATTATACATTCTATTCATTGGGACTAACCTTTGCTTGCACATATTATATGTAATTTGGCAATGATCACCTAAAGAGCCTCTAATATTCAGTCTGCTAATTAACAATTATCCATCATAATGAAGTCTAGAATAGAAGTATGTTGCGTTTCACTCGATATCTTTGTGCTAGGAGATAAAATTTATAACTTTTAGAATCAGCTTGTGCAAAGGCTATTCTGTAACCCCAAACTGGAAATAATGGGTTTAATTTATTGCAGAAAGGATCCTGATGAGTAGCTTAGTATATTTAGTTTGTAGGCTTTGGAAAATTTGATTTAATAGCAGTTCTAAGATAGGGAATGGACAATGCTGTTAATACAGCTTATTTTAGTTTTATCTTCTTTGCTTTGTCCTTTCTGAGTAGATCATCACAGATTTTTTTCTAATGCAAACAATTGCATTCTATTTCAGGTAGGAATGCTGATTTTCATTCTGTGGGGATTTCTGTTTTCTCTTTCTTATTTAACACAGACCACTAACTTTGGTGCATAACCAGCTGAAACATTTCATTCTTTTATGTTCTTTGTAGTTTTCAGCTTGGTCATGAAACCCAGATTGAATTTGTAGTGTATTTGTTGTCTCAGAGCTGACCCTTACTTTTCCAACCTGTGTTCTTTGGTTTGTTCTCTTTGGTGCTTGAAAAAGGAGGTGATGACACCTGCCTGTAAGTGAGCATCTGGGAAAGCTGTTTGATTCAGTTTATATCACAAGGAAACAGGCATATAAAAATCAAACCAGTGACCCTAAATTCCAACAAAAGAATTTATTTGCTTGGAATTGAAATATGTTATTTTTTTTTTGACACCGTCTGAAGATATCAGTCTGGTTTCCTGTGCTTCATCCATAGCATTTCACTGTAGTTGAAAAAGTAATCCAGTGTTTTCTAGGCTAGCTGAAACTTAATAATTATGTTAACAAGAATGAAGAAACTTGTAGAAATATATCTGAAGCTGATGTGAACAAATGTGAGTATCAGAGATCCTTCCCAGTGCTTCAGTAGGAGGTGTTGGCCCAGAAGTGGAAGATGTTTGTGGGATGAGCAGTCCCCGTGAGTTCAATTACTGCTTTCTGTGGTGGCCCTGGGGAATCTGCAGGTTGGTTACTACCAATTTAACCTTGCAATTGTTTATGTGGCCCACTGGAAAACGTCCCATTCTGTATTCAGCAGAGATTTTGGCTCTGCAAAAGGATAAATTTCATGCTAACATTTCAGGATGTAGGCTTGAAACTGAAGTCTTCAATCGAATTCTCAAACAAAAAATAACACAAATGGAATCAACTAAAGAGGTGAAAAAACCCAAACCAAACAAAACTTTTTTCTTTTTTTTTCTTCCAAAAAAAGGCAAAATAAATTTACATTTTGGTGTTACTTATGTTCCCTGGGAAGGGTCCCTGCCTGTTGACTGGGTTGCAGGCTGTTTTCCTTTGCCTTATCTTTTGTACACACATAAACTCTTTAGTTAGATTTTCCCAGTTGCATGGCACCAGTTATTGATGCCGGAGAATCCCGTCATATTTTGTAATTTTTTTACAGAAAGCGACATGTGCTTTAAGGACAGCCATCCAGTGAATTATGTTTTCAATTTCAGGAATTAGATTTAAGGTGTTTTTTACGTTTACGGTTTCAGTTTAGCAGGAAAGTGCATGAACTATGCACTTGGGAGGTTTGTTTTAGCCTCCAAACAGGGAATCTGGTGCCTCAGCAGAGAGCAGAGAGCTCTGCAGACCAAGGCTGCCTATTTGCCCAGAAGGTTTGCAGACGAAGCCTTAAAATTAGTGCTCTGAAACTTATACTTGCTTTTGGTGAAACTTTATACTGAAAGCGAGACCTCAAGCCCATTAAAGAGATTAAAAAGACCAGATTTGTAACTTTCCCCTACTGCCTGAGAAATGTTTCAGGATAAAAAATGAAATGGGAATTTGCAGACACAGGTTTTTCTGTGGAAACTTAATTTAGACTAATCCCTCTTTTCATACAAAGTTGTGCACCTATGCACATTGTCATCTGACCAACACAGCTGTAAATTTGGGGTATTGTGCTTTCTAAAGGCTGCAGAGTCAGTACATTTGTTTACTGTATAAAGTATGTATAAAATATATAGGAAAATAAAAATAAAACAGGGAAGGTTCCCTCATTTTTTTATGTTTATATAATTGTCTCTGTATACACTTGCAAAACAATCTTATACTTCTTGAAGCAGCTTGCAAATTGTGATTGAGCTGTCACATCTTGTGTGAAATTACAAAAATTTATGAAGTCTTGTATCAAATGTGTTATTTTCCTTAATTCTCCTATTTACATTGTTCAGTATGTTTATTATGTGCACTATTTTAACTAATTGTGTGTTCATGGCACAATCAGAGACTCCGTCATGGAATAAATATGTTGAGTAAGTATCCTTGCTGGTTTACAACTGCCCCATCCTCATCTCATCCTTCCTCTTCCTTCTTTGTGTTCTTATTTACATCTTGTTTGGTGTTGTCTAATTTCTTTCCTAAATTCATTAGTACTGACTGTGGTATCTGCCCTCACAATATATTTTTCCAGGTAGTTGTTTCAGCCTGTGAAAACTCCCTTAGTAAGCAAACTAGACCTTTTTAGTCCATGAATCTTATGCTCAATGCCAAAGACTCCTTTTATGCTACATCTGGATGAAATCGCGTCTTGAGGACAACCCTGTTTGAAACTGGTCAGTCTTCCAGAGTTCCCATGCAAGGGATTTGTTGGTTGGACACATAAGAATAGGCTGATGGAGTTTAAGTTGAATTATTTCAGAGAATAGTTCCGGAACTGACTTCTATCTTCTATCTGAAACTTAATGGAAGCAAGATTTTCTTTTGGACTGAGCAGAGCATGCGAAGTTTTTCCCTGTAATCATTGGCAGGAATACTTTATGAGCACCAAATTGTCTGGGAACACCTCTGTGAGAATTCCTGTCTTTTTAGTTTGACAAGACTTCAGGAAAAATGGCAAAGACACTGCTTGACAGGGTTTTTTTGTTGTTGTGGGTTTTTAAATTGATTTTGAGAGAGGTTAAGGGGCTTCAGTGAAATGAAAACCCATTTCATTTCTTTAAGTTGCTTAAAAATATTCTTTGATACCAGATGCACAAGCTAATCAACCTACAGTGCATTAAACAATTATTTTGGCTCATTGAACCAATCAGAACACACTTTTTATTTTTGACTGACATATGATAAACACAGCCATCTGCTGCTTCATAGCCTGGTGTTTGGTCTACTCGGGGCTGTAAGAAAAGAGAGTAAAACGCCCTTATTTAGGTTCCATAAAATCATGCAGGACACATCTTCTAGGCCATAAATTACTAATTATAGGCAGCACTGAACCAAATATTTCATCCCATCACAATAACATCCTAATCCCAGGATGTTTCATGTATTTCTGTATAGTGTGGTACCCTCAGGTATGTCTGTGGCTGTCCTTGCCCCTCACGTTGTCCTTTTCCTACTGAAAACTTTCATAACCATTGCCACGATGTTTTCTGCTGAATCACAGATGTCTTATCCACTTGATGATCTCATCAAAATTTGGTCAGTTGGTGTACAGCCGGGAATTCAGACATTCTGGAGGGAAATAGCAAAAATGATAATATTGTGTTTTCTGCAAGCAGGAGAATGTGGATGATTTTATCAGTGCATCAAGCAGAGCATGCAGAAAATGAAGAGCAGAAGTACAGATGGACTCATGCAGCATGGAGTAAATCCTTCCATGTTTCCTCTTCTCCCGTGTCCCCTCATATCTCTCAGCTTTTCCTCCTCGAGTGTATAGAATGAAATCAAAGTCAAGTACTTTGGAGGAGCAAAATAACCCAATGAACTATAATTCAAATTGATTAATATTGGATTTGGACAAGACACATTTAATCCATTTTGTTCTGCTGTTTCAGAGACTCACAGGGGATAGAAGAATAACCTCGTACAAATATTTGTCCTAGATATTCCTTTAAAGTATTTTCCTTACCATTTTGAAAAAACAAGGAATCAATTCAACTTTCCCCCACTAAAAATATTTTCAAGAACCCTGACTTTTGTTGTTAAAGAAGCTGGAGGACTTTGCCCAATCCATTTAGAATTAGATGATGATTATACAATCAATTAAACCCATCTGACACGCTGAATAAATACAAGTGCTTTATCATTTTAATGAGCTTATGTACTGTTAAGTATTTTTTTTAGTTCTTTGCATGTGTTTTCTGCATGTATTACTAAATACACATGCTTAAAGAGACTGTCACATGGGTGACCTATATTTGAAATAGCAGAGCAAAGCTAAATAGGAGCTGTGAAAAAGTTGGATACAAGATAACGCTCAGATATGGTCAGAGAGGAGCTGTTACACATATTTAATGCCCACTGCTGCACCCAAACTCTTCTGCTAATCCCCATTTTAAGATGAAGCACATTGAGATTTTATAACATATGTGAGTAGCACTACTGTGTGACACGATGGCAGGAGGGCAGGAGATTTGCCACTCTCTGTGTGTGTGCCTAGCTGCAGTTCAGTGGAATACAGCTAAATATCTTTTATGCATAATGTTCTTCCTTGTAGATTCCTTCTCATATATTTTATGAGCCACTTTCAATCACTTGCACCATTTTTCTACCAAATAGGAATCTTTACTATTGCAAATATTTCGTGTGTGATGTTACCAATTGATGGTTAGGCACTGAAAAGAAAACCCAAGCCAGTGCTTCCAGTGATAGCCCTTCACATCATGACTTATGAGATTTGTGTTTTAGTGGATTTGAGGTGTTTGAGGATTTTTAACAGGCTTTAGTATCATCCTCGTTTCATTTGGAGAACAGAGGTAGGAAATGCCGGTGGTAGACACTAAAAATTTATTTCTTGTTAAGATATGGCCTAGAATACCCAGTCCATTGGGCTAGGTGTCTCGGGCAGCAGCATTAAAAAGAGCTGTTGTATGCCCTGAACTCTCTCTCTGATGGCAGGAAGAGCCCTGGGTGAGTACAGATCCGAGAGCTATAAATCCAAGGCATTACTGTCCTCCACAGAGGTTTTTCTAAATTTTGTTATGTCATCTTTATTATGAAAGGTAAGATCTATGTTCTAGCCCAGATCATCACAGTCAAGAGGCTGTTGGTAATAACTTAATTTACCGGGGGTAAAAAACAGCTTTGTGTCTCCTTTACTGTCAGGCAGGTCAAAATTACTACACACAGTAGTCAGGTGGGAGTTTTTCAGTTCTTTCTCAGTGAGGGCTTTTTGTTGTTTAATTCTCAAGGCTGGTGTGATTTGCCATGGATAGTGAAACACAAGGGAAGTTGCAGGACAATTACCCTTTCTAGCTGATAAAACCAAGTGGTGGCATTTTTTTAGTCTCCAAAATGTCTTGGGCAGGAAAAGATGAGAGGTATGAATGGAACTACCGCCCTCCTTCCAACTGGAGAAACAAGGAGTGTGGCATAATATTGTCCAGAGAGGTTGGGGACTTCCCATACCTGGGAGTGCTCAAGATCAGAGGGTCTCTGATCAGTCTGGTCTAGTGGAAGGTTTCCTGCTCATGGCAAGGGGGTTGGAAGGAGATGATTTTTAAGGTCCCTTCCCACCCGAACCACTCCATGATTCCCTAATCCACTCTTCTCCACTGGAGATGGCAGAGGTTCAGAAGTGCTGTAGCACAGCTTAGCAGCGTGGTGTCCACGCTTGATTTAATGAGTGAGGATTCATCAAGGGACACCCCATGCTGAAAATTATCTCCATTCTGAGACTGTCCCGAGTATTTTGCTGTTCCTTACCTGTCCACACATGAGGCCGTTCATGCACAGCCCAGTGCTGCTGCTGTGACTCACACAAGGAGCCCCAGAGTTGTGCCCCGGCGGTTTCAGCTGTCCACTGCTTGCTAATTCTCTTGCTTCTTTGGCCACTCTATTCTCCAGGTACACTTTCACTGGCATTTACACTTTTGAGTCATTGATAAAAATATTGGCGAGAGGATTTTGCATGACAGAATTCACCTTCCTTCGGGATCCGTGGAACTGGCTGGATTTCAGTGTTATTGTTATGGCGTAAGTAACACTCCTTAATATTTTTCAAGAGAGTTATACATGCAATAGAAATTTTTAAAAGATTGTCTGGATGCTCTTTATTTTTTTTTTTTTTTCACTCAAATTTTATTGAAAATGAGAAAAGGCTGAAGTGTATTAGGAAGGAGGTATTTTTATCCTGAGTGGTTTCAGAGGAAGTCAGAGGAATTCTCAAATCTATTCTCTGAATTCGGTACCCTATTTTGTAGAAATTATTTACTCTCTCTGTGCTCCACAGAGAGAGCTGTTTGTAAAATATCTGTAATAATATCTGCCTATCTAATGTAGTTTTGGGAAGCTTCAGACCCCTGAATAGAAAGTGTTGTAAGTGTGACTGAATACCCACGTATTTAAATCCCTATTTATACTCTATCTATCCATCATATATATCATCAGAGCTGTTTTCACCTCCTTTTTTTCACAAACCCTTTTCACCTGGAAAGTAATTACTATTTTACCATAGAGAATTAATTTATAACTCTCTGAAACTTATTGTGTATCTTGGAAATAGAAATTTGGCCCCCACCAGGATATTCCCCTTCAGTTGTATGCTTCTGCCTAGATTGTTAGAGTTCATTGAGGACATGTGGGGTTCTGGTGCTTTGAAAAAGGTGATGGATTTGCAACATCCAGACAGCTAAAAATACACAGGGGTAGAGAAGCAGTCAGCCAGCACTCACAGGGGACTCAGGGTCAGCCCAAACTCTGGCCAAAGGCAGAGGTCTGACACTGCCAGTACCTCCAGCTAAGAGAGAAAACCAGATTTCTTCATAGCCACAAAAGAGAAAATTGTGCAAAGAATGAGTGCCATCTTGAAGTGAAAGCTGGTAGAGATGCCTGGAAGGCTCCACTCCCTAAACATAGAAGTGTCTGGTCTGATATCCCAGGTTTTTTTGGCTTAATGATACTTGTATTCAATTCTGGGTTTAGATTAGTTCTTGCTGCCATCTTTAAACCCCATAATTCCCAGTGTTAAGTGAGATTCAAGTGTGTTAGCACCAACATCTGAGCTAAACTGGTGCTGTGAAATTTGAATGGAGCTGACATCAGGAGAGAATATTCAAAGTTAGCTAAAACACCAATGAGGGCCACTGAAGTTGAAAGCACAACTCTATTAGGGCACAGAGATCAAGACTGGTATTTAAGGAGGCTTTGAATGATGCTCGTGATCATATGGTTTAGTTTGAGGTAGTCCTGTGAGGAGCAGGGAATTGGACTCTTGATCCTTATGGGTCCCTTCCAATAGCTTAAGATATTTTATAATTCTGTGGTTCTTAGCAGCATTTAGCAGAACAGCATGAAGGTGTGTAAAGCCTAAGTGAACTTCCTCAGGAACACTCCTGTTTATTTCAGTCAGCTTTGGACCTAAGCCAGCCCTAGGCCAGGTCCTGGTATCTGTTACTGCATTCCTATGGATTTGGCTGAACTGACATCTGGCCACTATGATCAGCCTTGAAAAAAACAAATCAGTGCAGATGGGGAGAATCTCTTGGAGGTCAGCACACATTAGGTATTTTTTGCAGCTAAACTTTTCCTCAAGCATTGCTAAGTGCAATTCTCCTGCAACTTTCAGTGGCAGGACACCACAGAGTCACCATCCTGCTCTCCTGTCCATTGGGCAGGTGGCAAAAGCAATGTGTAATCATCCATCTGTTTGTAAGATAGGATGTGAGTTTATTTGGAGGCCTCAGAATTCAGCATAAGATGGAGAATTTCTGTGCATGGGCTCTCATTTTTCTAGAAGGAAGGAGATTTCTGACAGATAGAAAAGAGCAGAGAAAAGGACAGGAGAAGCCACAGCTTCCAGCTTTGACATGAATCTGCTCCACCTCATCTTGTCAACTTGAGCATCCCCTGCATCTGGGGAGCATTTCAGACTGAAATTCAGGTCTGAACAGTCAGTGGGGGGGTGCAGTCTGAATATCCCTTAAATTGTCTCTACAGCATCTCTGGACATTTGGGATGTAGAGAGCAGGAAAGATGAGAAGGTTTGCACAGACCTGTAACCCACAGGGGAATTATTCATTCCCTGTTGGCAGGAACCAGGATTTGGTGCCCACAGGTTGAAGGTTTACCCCTCTGTTTTCTATTCTAATTCTAGACTTGAAAGGCCACTCAGTGCTCCAGCCCAAGGATCATGAAAAATTCTTAAAGCTTTTCTAATGAGAGGCTTGAGAATCTGTGCTTTCTTTCCTCACTACCTTTTGATTTTTTTTTCCAAATGATATTTCACATCTTTGTTAGAACCTCCCTAAAACAGGAGGACCTGCAACTGTGAACCATCAAGCTTCTTAACATCAAACTATTTTCTGGATACCAAACTGTCTCTTCAGAGCCAGAATCCATTCCAATTGTTTCTTACTTTGAGGCATATTTTACTAAGCCTTAAGAATGGAAAAATAAGTGGAATTCTGGAATAAAAAAAAGAAATGAGAAAGTGTTTCCTTGAGCCCACAGGCAGCAGTGAGAGAGTTAAAAGTGGCTGCAATATGATCTTCATATGGACAATGAAACCTCCTTCCCAAGTATGCAAGCAGCAGATAGTACAGAGACTTGGATAATGGAATCTATTCTGATACGATTTAGCCTTCATACAAATCCAATTTGCAAGTAATTTAAAGTAAGATGGATCACACAGGTAACTCTGGTGTTGTCTCTGCTTGTAGCCTGTGTGCTGCCAGAGGTATTTCTGTATCTGCAAACAAAGATGGCCTGGAAATTCAAAATGGAAGAGCCTGATAAGGGCCATGAGATTCAGATGGATTTTGGGTTTTGAGCTAGCAGAAAATATGATTATTACACTGATGGGAGTTACACTGGGAGGACCATCATTTGATTTAGAGTTGTTGCAGAATAGATTCTTGTCTTCTCTTTTGGGCAGAAACAGCACAGATTGGGCCATAGAGAGTAGTTTTAAATAGCACACTGGAGAGTAAGAAGTGCTGCAGGTCTCCAGGGCTTTTCTGCTGTCCTGTGCCAGTGGACACAGCCATGGCTTGTGACTCTCTATGGGTTGAAAGGAATTTATGAAGCTGACCTTGTTTAGATCCCTCTCTCCCAGACTAGTGGGTTCCTCTTTCCAGAACAGGTGAGGGAGAGGCAGCTGTAACTCTGGGTTGGAAAGTGCCCTGTAAGAATCTTAAAGACAATAATCCCTGGCTAATGGGAAAATTTAGGATAGGAATTCCAGATGCTTCTCACTCCTGGTACAGAAGAACTGCTCAGCAGCATTTTGATTGAAAAAATGACCAAAATAAATCCTAATTGACTATTACAAGCAGCGGTATTATCTACTTCATGTGCTTGTTCACATTTTTATAATGTGTTCTTACAAATCTCTGGTCAGCAAAACCATATTCCCATCCTAGTGCTTCTACCCAAATTATTTTTTTCCTCCACCTTTCATGCTGAAAGTTTGGGAGAGAAGCACAGGGTAAAGCTGGGGACAAAACAGGTAAATCATTGCCCAGACTCCCCTGTGAGATTATGAAGGGAATCAATATTGTCCTTCCAGTCTAATAATCTGGATTAGTAGATATGGAGAGGATGCTTTGTCCTCCCCAGGGGCCTTTGGACAAAACCCACTTAAGCAGGCTTTTTAAAATGACCAAGTGAGTTTTTTCTGTAACACTTTTCCAAAACAAAGGCCCCAAAGACGTAGGACAGTTGAATGAAATTTTAGGAGTGAAATTCAAGGGCCCAAGATCTCTTTTGTTCTGCAGATAGAGTGGTGACTATGGTTTTGCTTCATACTGACTTGGAGGAAATAATTTTGTACAACACTGGTGAAATGAAACTCATTCCATGACTGGAATGCTCCCTCCTGGAAGCATTTATTTGGGATGTGATGGGTCTCCAGCATGGCCAGAAGAGGCATGGCAGGGAACATCTGGGATTGGTATTTTAATCAGAAAGAGTTTTTAGTAGGATGACAGTTATATTCATTTAGACTCCATCTTCTTGAAGCCAAAGGGCATGAAATTGAAATACAAAACAAAATACAATTTAGAGCATCTCTTGAAACCAAAATTTGCTTTACCACAGAATGCAGCATCTTAAACTAAATAACCCAGTCGAAATGTTTGCACTATTTTGCTATGTTGTCCTATATGTGATTTTCAGAACCTATTATGTGAAAATTGCTTGAGTATTTGAAGCAGCAAAATAACTCTTAATATTTCTAATAATGTAAAGAATTTTTTTGTTGCTGTTGTTCAACTAGATGATGGTAAAATCTTTAAAGTATTTATGGCTGAACAGCACAATAACAGAGTTCACCCAGTAGTTTTAAAGGATTGATGCCTATTAGAAAAGTTTAATAGTTCAAGTAGCATTTGAAATGATGTGCACTAATAAAAACCTGGGGCAAATGGCATCAAAGAACAGCCTGAAAAGTGGATGCACCTCTCATTCGGATGCGTTCACTCCCTCTGTGTATGAATGCTTTCTTCATTCAGACAAGTTTCATACTCTATTGTATAATTCCAAATAACTGTGACTTAATTCTACAGGTATGTAGGAGAATTTGTGAATGTAGGCAGTGTTTCACCTCTTCGGACTTTCAGGGTATTGAGAGCTTTAAAAACTATTTCAGTAATCCCAGGTAAGACGCCCTGATCCTTACGTTTTGGCTCTCAGCTACAAGTGATTCTTTCTCTGTCTCTCTTTGTCCCTTTGACTGTTGTTTTTTTGGCTGGTGTTTTGTCATTGTCTGTGTGTGACTTTCCCTTGTTACAGATACATAACTGAATTTGTGGACCTGGGCAATGTCTCAGCCTTACGAACGTTCAGAGTACTGCGGGCGCTGAAAACAATCTCAGTCATTTCAGGTGAAAATCAGGTTAAACACTCGGGCTGCAGTTAAAGCCTACATGCCATTTCCAGTATTAAACACTGCAATTACAAAAGACTTAACCATAGATACTGATCAGGAAATGGAGGAATGTAGGGAATGCGACCTGTCAATAGAATAGTTGTTATTTTTATTTTTTTTTACATGTTTTTCCAGTATGGTTTTTGTGGGCAGAAGGAATGAGAATGCCTCCAAAACTGCAGAGCTCACAATTGCTGCAGTAAGAATGGTGGCTCGTGAATCACATACATAAAGTGCTCATTTGTGAACCATATGAAATTGGCAATCAAAATCTTTTAAAACCTTCGGATATTGATTTTTAGAAATGGGAGGTTAATGACCTCAAAATGCATATTCATGTTTAAGAGCACATTGATGGAGGAATCTAAATCCGTGCTATGAGCTGAGGTTTCAAGACTGCAGGCACAGATAGCCTAATTTGTCATGGTGTTTATCCATTTGCATGTGATAGAAACACTGCTGAAATTTTGGGCCTTGAAGAGATTGGAAAACATTTCATTATTTATTTTGGTAGGTTCAGCACTTCATTGACTCATGTTTTCTCACATTTACAAGGATATTATTTCTCCCCTCTTCACCCCCTCAAAAAAGAAAAAAAAAATAGAAAAATCAGTTTTACTACACATCTGGTAGTGAAAGAAACTCTTTATATAATCTCTTACTATTAAAAAACCCCAAAACTATTAAGTAATTTATGTAGAGATGAGTCCACTGAGGACTAAACATACAACAAAACTTTCTTGCTGAGCATTATCTATGGACAGGTCTCATTCAGCCTCAGTGTTTAACATCTCCAACCTGCATGACAAGGTAGAGAAGACAGCAAAAACCATGCATGGTAGATCCTATCTGTGATAATCCTGAACAGATGTTGGCAATTACATGTTAAAAATATTCAAAACATCAAAAGAATTGCTCATATTCTCACTCACAGATCTTTAAGGTTAGAAAGGCTTTTCTACCCACTCTGTTATACACTGTAATATCAGTCTAAACAAATTCAGTGAAGCAAACTTATAGGGATACATATTAAAACTCATCATCACATGAAGTATGAGCTAGAAATGGGAATTCAGGAATGAAGGTGTTAAATATATATATATATATATATATATATATATATATATATTTGGGTCTAGTTTTTGGTCTCTCTTCCAACACCACAGTAATGAAAATCAGGGAAATTACTGGGAAAGGGAGGTATTTTTAATTGGAAGTGTATGTCCAAATACAGATTTTAAAGATTACTCTAAGATTTATTAGGTCCTTGAAACCAGTTTTAATTTTTTGTCTTTAAGTTTTAAAGAATAACCTCTTAGCAGAGATTTGTGGGGATTTTTAAGTTTTCTCTAGCAGGATTTCCATTGAGAAAGGATATTTATTTTCCTTGGGAGACAGAGCTGAGCACAGCTTTACAGATCCTGTAAGATGGTAGTGGCTACTCAGAGAGAAAGCCAGAGTTTGTTTCCTAGATTCCTTTGATAGCAATTTGAAGACTTAGCTTGGAGGGACATCCCTCTCCAGGGGACACCTTTCACCTTATATCTTGTCTCAGGCTTGAGTCTCTTCAGAGCACAGCCTGTCAATTTTTCTGAGTTATATATATAACAATTTTCTGCTGTCCTATATCAGAGGAGGAGCTGAAGCTTGTTTTACATCAAATGATATGACTTGGTGGGGAAGAAATTGAGTACTGAGATTCAAGTAATCCAGATTCAAATACACCAAAACCCTTCAGTGATATTAAACTGAGTTGTTCCATTTGTTGGTTAATAGAAAAAACAAAAAAAAAGAAAAAAAAAAAAAAGAGGAGTGTTACTTATTAAAGTAATGCATAATAACTCACATTCTCTTTTTTCATTCTGACTATTTGATTAGTTTTTTTTTGATAACTGCATTTTTATGTACAAGTCCCTAAATTATTTGGTGACATAACTGCATGTAGATATGCTAATAGAATATCTGGCCTTTGATTTTTGATTTTATCATCAAGATTACCTGTGCCCTGAGTATTAAATTACAAATGTGGAGAGCTACAAATTGCCATAGCTGCCAGTGAAACACAGACAGGGTGGGTTTTTTTAATATTAGCAAATTATTTCAGAGGAGTCAGTACATCTTACAGTTAGGCATATGTATTTTAAAAGATATATTGGACATGATGCTGTGGTTTCTCTGGAGATAAGTCTGAGTTTTTAATGATAACATAGTCTTATGTTGAGGTGAAATATTTTCCCCCAGTAGGCTTAAAAATGAAAAGATGATGAGCATTAATATCTTTCATGAGTTTTTTGGGGTTAATTGCTGTAGAGAGGAGAATGTGGTTGTTATTTTTGCTTCCTCTTTCACGTCTCAGGTGAAAAACACCAAGCTGTATTCTCCTTTGGAAATATCTGAGCTTTCCCTCAATAAAATTGATCACTTTTCCATCAGATACCTCTATTTGCACAAACATGCTTGGCCTCACCGTGCTCAGTGAAATTGCTTACGGAAAGCCACGGGCCAAGTCCTCGTGGTGCGAGGCTTCTGTCCAGCAAAGCACTTAGAGGCTGCTTTTCAAAGGCATTCTGCTTCACTTGGAATCAATGAGTTTCTCTATTGACTCCAGAGGGAGTCAGTAAAGCTGACAATTAGTGCTTTTAAAAATCTCACCTACCTTTAATGTCTGGCTCTAAGTGCTCAAGCAGGCACAAGGATCTTTAGGAGAGCACGGGCTCCGAAATTCAGAGTCCATTCCCCTGGCCTAAGGTTGCATTTAGCACAGCTCAAGCATGGCCTGGTATTTATTGCCTGACTTCCAGCAGCCCTTCAAAGGTGGAGGTCCCAGGGTCTTCCTGAGAAGCCCAGGAACTGTCTCAGCAACTCATTGCTTTTGTCATTAGAAGATTTGTTCCAGGTGGAGGGTTCAGGTCCAGACCCAACAACACAAATGTTGGCATCTACCAGCCAGCCTCCCTCTCACTGGAGAGCTGGGGCTCAGTTTGAGTGCCAAAATGCCAATATCTGCTGCTCCAAATGTCCATGGTCTTGCAGGTCCTATCTCTGACTCCAGCCTCCCTCTCTCTTGACTCATCATCAGCTGTTTTTTACTCTGTGTAAGACATCAGGTCAGTGCCTTCCCTCCTGTGGCAGCATTTAACATGCCAGAAGACCTTCATGGAACCTCTCAATTTTCCCTTTTCTGCACCAAACACACCCATTTCTTCCCATTTTCCAGCTGTCCATGATATTGAGAGGAAAACAAGCTTTGTACAGGTTCAGGTGCTTAAAAATAGGTAACATTTTTTCTGTGGGAGCATTTTAAAACCTTTAACTCTCAGTGATTTGATTTACTAATTGGCGTCTTGCACGTTGCTATGGCAACTGGATTCATTTGTTTTTCTTGCCAGATAGGAACCATGGTCAGCAGCAGAATAACCCACTGAAGCCATTCATTTGTCTCCCATTAGCATCCCATTACCAGAGTATCCAAATCCCAGTGGGCTCAACGGGAGCAACAACAGAGGGGTCTTGAATCATATTTTATCCTCATGGAAATTACCAATGTTTTTGATAAGTACTAATTGAGATAATATAAACCCTGAGGTACACGCTCTCCATCCAAAGACCACAAAAAGCAGGCCTTCATCATCATCATCCCCAGGATTTTGTAAACTGCCTGTATCCAGCTGTATCCTGAGAAGCTCCCCTGCTCTTTCTGGAACAGGCGTGTACACCACGGGCATCTCACACAAAATGACAGGATACCTTGGAAAGGTGACCTCATAGAAAATTGGGCCAAGGCACTTTGGGGCCTGATCCAGCTCCCATTTAAGTTGGAGTGAGACTAAAGGCTATAAATAGTGCTGTGAATGTTATCCAGTGCCTCTGTGATAGCCAGAACAGAGCTCGGAGAACAAGAATTAAGACTGTGTGGAGGAGACTGACCCCCACTCACTGCTTCAGTCTTGTTGAAGTCCTGCTGCAGAGAGATAAATGTCAACCTTTTGGTGGGTCAATCACTTAACTCAAGAAGTAACTATCCCAGAGGTGAGATATATATTCAGTTGTGTTTTCCTTGGAGACTGGCCTGTCACTTTTCCAGGCAAAGCCAGCCTGCAGGAATGCTGACACCAAGTTTGCCAACACGTTGTTAAACTCTTTGCTGCCCCGTGTCTCAGTAACTAATGACAAAATGCACTCATCAAGGGTGAACCCTTCTCTCCCTACACACGTGTGACTAATGCAGATATTTACAGGACACAGGTGTATCCTCAGGGAAAGGAATGGGCCTGGTGAGGACAATCCTGCTGCAAGTCACACTCTTTTTTTTTATTTCATTTTTTTTGATTTTTCTTCTTCTTCCCACTTGTTTCCAGACTGTGCATGAATGTGTCTGATGTTCTGTAGGTGATTGCCAACATCTGGTATGGATGTCATACTGAATTATGCTAATACTTCCTCACATCTCGCATAAGGAATGGATGGTGCTTTGGGATCTTGCCATTTCTCATTGTTTGGTGTTGCTTGCATTTTCTATGGTTTCTGATTTGCATTTGAAAAATGGATTTTTTTTTGGAATATTATTTGATTAACCTCTGAATGGGATAATTTCTACCTGCCTTAACAGGAATGTTTGGGCCAAATTCTTCTCGCTCTGTGCAGATGTCAGGCTGCCTATACAGCCCTCATTCCACTGATTTTGGATCTTGTGGGTTTTTTCATGTCATGCAAGCAGGATTTGGCCCAGAGGTGTGGAAAGAAGTCAGTGATTCAGAAAAAGCCTGCTATTGATTTACTCCACAGGGAGTTCCATTGTCATTAATGGGTGTAGATGTTACTCAGCTTTGGATCAGATCCTCAGGTTTTTTCCTGCATGCTGCCTGGTTTGATGTTTTACTTGCTAGAATTAAGTAAATGCCTTTAATGCCCCATAAATAATATCTTCTATTAAGCTATATTGCAGTGCTCTCATTGGCACTATTTCAAAGAAGGATTATTTATCCAGAAGATTTAACCATGCTCTAAATTTGAATACATCTAGCATTACTTTTACAAAACATGGGATTGATTCAGAGAGATGCAGAGTACCTGCAAGAGGTCCTGGGTGTCCTTAATTCCCCTCAGCCCTTCCATTTTAGAGGCACAGAATAGTTTAAATGAACAATGGATTAAATATTTTCCTTAGCCTTGGCACTTAATTGTGTCAATCACCTTGATGGATGCTACTTAATTTTCTGAGAAAATTTTGGTTTTAAAGAAACAGCTTGAGAAACAAACTTGAGAAAAAACCAGCTGTAAGTACAACACTCTTTTAATGGTTTTCCTGGAAAGTTTTGACAAAGGTCCAGGAGGCAGAGTACAAGTTATTTTTAAAAGATCTTCAATTACAGAAATTGTATTACTAAAGTATCATCTTAAATTGTTCAGAAGCTTGTAAGCTATGAAAACAAAACAAAAAAATTAAAAAGGAAGTAAAGCAGAAAACCCTCTTATAAATAAATTATTTGATACCTGCAAGGGATGAACTTGTAAAACTAAGATTGTAGAATTACTCTTCTATTTAAAACTCCAGTAAATGATCTGGAAAAACATGTTTCATGAAATGACCTTGAAATTGGCAATACTGTGGCCTGATTTTGAAAATGTTAATCTTCAAAGTCTTTGAAGTTGTTTGAAAAAGTCAGTCTTTATTGATGACTAGAATTTTATAGGGTTTTTCCCCTAATATTATCCCTATTCACATTAGGATTTCCACTGTCTTTGCCCATATAAGTAAGATTAATTAGTGCACTTAGATGGTGCAAATACAGACTCCAAGTCTGTATTTGTATTACAAATAAATAAATGTTCTGCAGGGATTTCACAAGGAGTATGGCAGTAAAAGAATTTGTGGTATTTTTTTCCTTTTCTTAAGAATCAGTTTGCATTTGGATTTCCCAAGTTTAACAAACTTCAGTGAAGTAACATCTGTGCATTCAAAGGACAACCAATGTTAAAAAAAATTAAAAATTTAGTTCATTTGCAAATCTTTTTTCCTCACCTCACTACTTGTGTAAGACTTGGCTGTCTTAAAGGACTTTCAATGCTGGGCAATGGTGACACCCCAGAAGTCCTTTCAGAATTGGGATACAACTAAAATTACTTCCCATTCAGGTAAAAAGTTTATTCAAGTCTAGATTAGCAAAAGAGGTTTTATTTTTATTTAGGCATGAAAACAGGTAGCCAAGCCTACAGATGGGTTCAAAAATTCAAAGTCAGCCTTTTTCTAAATATCTGAGTAGAACTGACCTCATTTGTAAAACCTTTCTGAAGAGGAGAGGTAGCATGAAAATCCAGCTGCTGCTTAATATTTGTCCTGCAACAATTTGCACTTTATTTTTGAGCAAAGTAGGGAGCTGTCTAACTGCACCCTCTTTACCATGCCACAAACTAATTTTAGAGAGGCAAACAAAGAATTTGGATTCCTAGAAAATAGAATAGCAAGCTCCTCACACCTGTTGGAGCAGTGTCTTTTGGTTAAATGGGCCATTTTACAGATGTTAATATCACTCACAGATTAGCAATATCCTGTGCAGGAGTGGAGTATTTTGGGCTGCTGGATGAAGGGACTGATGCAGCTGTTGGCCATTCCAGCAGCTCGTCCTCATCTGAGAATCCCTGGTTTTCCCCCCACTGTAACCTGGGGTTTTTAAGCAAAGCCAAAAGCTAATTCTGCTTTCCTATGTGCCCTGAAGTACATTTTCATATTATTTCCAATTACGCAGCACTTGCTCAGCCTTTGTGGCTGCCAAACTCTTGGGGTGGAATTCCAAGGAACTGAGATTTAATGTGTATGATCATATTCAGTGAGCAAATCAATGTGCTTCTGAATATTGCCCGGGAGAATTCCTCCTGTTTCCTCTTTGCATTTTCTTTTTTCCATTTAAATAAATTTCGCTTATTGCTGCCATACTGGTGACACAGATTATCAGAAGTACTTATTACTACTAACCAGTATTAATCAAATATAAATAGGAAAGAAAGGACAAAATTGCCACCAATGTGCAGCTGATATTAATGTCCAGCTAGAGCACACCAGTTTAGAAGAGAAGGGTCTTTATTTAAAAAGGAATGGGGTTTTCTCTTGTAATCATGTAATATTCAATCAGATCAAACAGTGCAGATCTACAGGAACACTTCAAAAGCAAGAACTATCACTTGAGAAAACTGTATAATTATTTATATCTGAATATTTATGGAAGAATAAGCTGAAGCTAGTGTTACAGGGTGAAATAATAAAAGAGAAGCTAATTTGTGTGACCCAAGCCATTGGTGTTATGCAATAGGAAGATTTATCTACTTTGGCACCATATTATAAAACGATTAATTTTTCCCAGGTACTGTTGGAGCCTCAGGTTGTTTTACTCGAATAATTTCCACTGTGTTTATTTGACTGCCTGTATTTGGCTTTTTTCCTAATCCCAAATTCTTGTTTTCTTAAGCAAATTAATTGAAGGCAGAGGAATTATTCATATGAGGACAGCATGTTGGATTTGGCACTAAAATATGTAAAATAATCAGGGAACAGACAATATTTCCATACCTCTTCATCTGTTTATGTGAGGGATAAAGTTATCAGAATCACCTGAGAGATTTAAAAGCAATTCACATTCTCAAAATTCAATGGGATTTAGGCTTTACCGCCTTTACTGCAGCTCCATGAAAATATAAAACACATTCCATGTTTTCTTTACCCATGGATAGTTTTGTATCTCACTGTCCCTCCATCCAGTTCTTCCCCTCCATTTTTAAAATCAGTGTTTGTGCAATTCCAGGACTTTTGTCCAAAAGCAGGTAGAACTAGACACATAGTGATCACTTGTCTCTCATTTCTGACGTCCAGTTGCAAACACTCAAAGCCCTTCAGATTCCCTTTTCCATGGAATTTTCATCATGAAAAGCAGCTGTCTGCAGACATATTTCACTCTCTCAGTCTATAAACTCTCGGCTTTTATCTCCCTAGGACTGAAGACCATTGTAGGGGCTCTTATCCAGTCTGTTAAGAAACTTGCAGATGTGATGATCCTGACCGTTTTCTGCTTGAGTGTCTTTGCCCTCATAGGCCTCCAGCTCTTCATGGGAAACTTGAGACACAAATGTGTCAGGGATTACACCATGTTTAACTTCACCAATGGCTCCTTGTACTTGGATGGTAGGACGTGGAACAACTCAGAGGAATTTCTTAGTGATCCAGGTAGGCTCCTCTTTGTCCTCTAATCTGGTTTCTGGTCATTTGAGGTTTGGGGGGGTTTTGGTTTTTTGTTTTATTTTGTTGGGTTGTTTGTTATTTTTTTTTGTTGGTTGGTTTTGTTTTGATTTTTTTTTGAGGGGGGGGCTTATTTGTTCTATGTTTGTTGTTTGTTTTTGGGTTTTTTTAATTATATTGATGGTGATCTATATGTGAATCAGCAAAATGTGACTACTGTCATATCATGGTGTCAGTGTGGTTTTGAAAGACCGAGGTAGCTTTGTCTGAATCTCTATGGTGCCTTCACAGTTCATGCTGAAAATACTTCTGCTGCTTTCCTGTGAAGTCCTAGTTGCCTCACTGATGATTTCCACAGTTTTAGGGTGCCATATATTTTTAAAACTCTGTTTTCTGGTATTGAGCAATTACATGAAAATTTCAGCTCTGTGTGTGTGGGTCTGGTTTGCATTTTGTTTCTCTAAAGACAATTTATAGCTTTTGCAATTTCTAGAAAAACTTCAAAATTTGAGTTAATGGGCATGAAAAAAATTCCAAAAGGTAAAGCAAAGAAATTCAGTCTTTATTAATCTGAAAAATCCCAAGAGATTTTTTTTTAAGGAAATCTTTTGCTGTTGGGTCAGGCCATCCTGTAAGAATTCATGACCAGTGACCTTTTGTATTTTATTTTTTTTGAGGAGAAAAAAGAACCACATAATCAACTCATTAACTGGAGTTTTGATTGAGAGGCAGTGTCATAGTGTCATGGGGTAGCTCTGCTCTGACTCTGTGGACCCTACAGTCCCACATCTCCAGCCCCCTGCACTATAAAAACCCCAAATCTGACTGGTGGGAGTTGCCTGGCTTGACCCAGGGCTCTGTTGAACCAGGGATTTGGCCAAGGGCAGTCCCTCCATTCCCCACCGGTGACTTCTGGCCTTTCTGCTCAGCTCCTCTCCCTGTGGTCTGAGAACCCTGGAAGCAGTGGTGCTGAGGTTTCCTTGAAGGGATAAAAAGCTCACCATGGGTGACTTTAAGGCATGATGTGGTTGGTACAGCATTAAGGAGGGACAGGTCACAAAGCTCTGGCTGAATGAGGGTTTTCTTTGGAACTGACCATCAGGTTCTGTGACCTCTCATTGCCCCTGTGCCAGAGCCCCTTACCAGCTGAAAGGGGAAAGAGCTCTTGGACTTTTGCTGGATGGTGTGGAACCTGCTGAGGTGTTATCCCATCCATGTTAGTGAGGAGATAGTAAAGGTATTTGTGCACCTGTGGTGGATTAAGGCACTGCAGGGCCCCTCTACCCACAGATAACTGAGAGCTGTGTGAGGTGCTGCTTTCCCTCTCTCACAGAGGATAAAATGGTGATGGCTGGAAGCATAAAGCCCTGCAATAAATGTGAAAGGAAGAAATGGAGCCGTGAAGATAGTCTGGCTCTCTGGGAATGGCAATAGGGTAAATGTGATATGGGATAGTCTGTTAAAATACAGATAATATCAGGGCCAGCTGCAGCATTGCTTTAAATGTGAGGAATTGTACAGCTGCTCCAGCATACCATGAGCAAGTTTATTTATGTAGTCCAGATATGGGAAGGAGGGCAGACACTCCCAGAAATCCGTATAGGAAATCCAGCAATGGTTAATAGGGTCATGAAAATATGCTTCATATCTCTAAAAGAGATTTGCCTCTTACAAAGATAACCAACTTGGTGAGATAATGCACTAAAGTGAATTAAATTTTGACCATGTGGCATTACAAGGAAGTAATAATAATATCAGTGAATGTTTTCATAATATCTGAAAATAAAGACATGGTGTATTATGGCAAACAGTTGTCACTTACTTTGGATAGACAAAAATTATTTAAATAGTGAAAGTGTCAAGGCAATGCAGCAGGCCCCTGAAGACCTAGAAGAAGAGTAGATTTATAAGAAAAGGTAGTGACCTCTGAATAAGAACAATGAAGCCTTCCTCAAAATGCTAAAGAAGGAGACTTAGCTATTAGGCAAGGGAGAACAATATTAAGTAGGATTTTCATTTAATGTTTACTGTTGCACTAAAGTGATTCAGAAATGGAAGGACTGGCTCATTTTGTGACTAGATGGGCAGTGCTTTGTATTTCATTTTGCATAACTATTATGGTGAAATGAAGTGACCATTTAAAGGAGAGGCACTGACCACAATTTAATAACAGTCCAAATTTTAAGTACTGCAGGGAATTAAGCAATACATACAGTTAGATTAAAGTGTAGGCAGACCAAATTAGATTAAAAAAGGAATATATTAAGAAACAGAATCGTGTCAGTGTTTACTCTAAAGAAGAACTAGAGAAGAAAATTGGCCAACATGTTGAGATAGTAGAGTTCACTCGAAGGGAGCACAGACAATTACAAGAGCTCTTCGGAGATTTCAAAACCAATGTGGCTGTCATTTAGTTTGGAGCAGGGTTACTAATGTAAAAAACACAGAAAACAGAAACCTGAAGTACTGTCAGAGATCCATAACAATACTTTAGAGAAAAAGGGGAATGTAAAATAAAGGAGAGCAAACCACTGAAAATTAAAATTGGAGAAATCATTAATTCTGTTCATCATGACACCAAAATAGAGAATTCAAATGGGGTGATGTGACATTCCTGCTCTTCTTGAAGAGAAAAAATTTGCTATGGATTCTTTAAAAATGTTTTTAGTATTTTAAAGGGCAGCACAGAACCTCTGAAATGGCATCAGCCTCCTCCTGTGCCTTAAAACCGTTTTTTGCATGAATGAAAAAACAAAAATCAGTAAAACCCCTTAAAAGGGTAATAGAGGGAAGAATTGCTTGGTGCTGCAGAGGAAATTGTTGAGAGATTTAGTCATGAGGTGTGAAGAACGATAAGAACTCCCATTTTGAGCCTTTCACAGCCCTTTTTAACTTGAGATAACTGTGTGCTGTGGGCACTTGCTACAGGGGACGTTTTGGTTGTGTCTCTGGGACATCCATCTGGGATGGCCTGGGATAGCTCCAGGTCTGCTTTTTTATTCAAAACTTGCTTCATATCTGGACAAAGTTCTGTAATCTTTCCTTATGTGCTTTTCAGCCTCTAGGCAGGAATTTTTTTTTCTCATCTGTCTTCTTGATCCTCTCATTTTGGCTTTATATACAGGGAAAAAAGTCAGTTTGTAAAATTTGCGTCATCACTGGTTTAACCACTGTTATGTGGTAGCTCTTGATTTTTGGTTGATCCCTGAGGAAATAACCATCACACTCCCAGATTTCTGAAACTCTTTCCTTTAAATCCATGGGTACTTTTCCTGTTTTACCCATGTGTTCGAGAAAAGCCTTTTTTCTATAAATCTTGTCAATCCTGCATTGCAAGGTTGCTAATGTTATTGAGGATTGTTGGGTTTTCCCCTCCATCTGCCATGAGATGATCATACACTAAATCCCATAAGGAATTCCTGCCTGTCCACCCAACATTTGCTTGTTCTTGCCATCATTCCAATGGCTTGTGCAGCTGGAGGAAGCACCAGGTAACTTGGGAAGAAAGAGGCAAAATTATAAACATGGAGATCCTGTGAGAAAATTCAAACTGGTTCCTATTCAGTTCACTAAATATTGGAATATAAAGTCCTAGAACAGAGCTGTCAGCAAATATTCCTGATCAGACTGTCAAGACGGGAAGTTCCTTGGCAATGTGATTAAAGGCTTAATTCTGTGAAAGAAACTTCTGCTAAGTTACTGTGGGTGCCTCCGGTGTCTCATCTTAATTACTGGGCACAGCAGTCATGATAAGATGAGACAAATTTTTAGTCTTTCCTCAACTCACAGTGGAGATTCAGATCTAAAATCTGCCACTTGCTGGGCATCTCTCTCCAGGATGAACAAGAGAATTTTTATGTTCTTTCCACCCATTTAAATGGCTCAAAATTTAAACAGCAACCTCTAAGAAGAAGGCTTGTCAGAAAAATTATTCCATTCTGGCTTTACCTCCAATGAGTAATGCTTACCCCTGCAAACCTAGAGAGGGGGAAAATGAAGATTAAGGGAGTAGTAGCTCATCAGGTTTCCCAGTTTCCTCTGTGCAACTACTCTCTGAATGAAGGATTGTGGGATGAGAGACATCTGAGCATCAGATAAAATCAGGCTAAAAAATTCTTCATGTCAAGTGCCAGCGGTGAAATTACAATCGTTCATCTGGGGAAACGGTGACTACTGATAGGTAATTATTTTCCTACCTGCAGTTCTAGATTTGGTGAGAGATTGCGATCAATAAGCCCAAGGAGGATTATTTTTAGACATTAATAATAACAAACCTGGAAGACTGGAGTTTTAGATGCAGCGGTGATTGTATATAAAAATGAAATAAAAGGGAAAAAAAGGTTGAAAATAATGATAGTTTATATCCACAGCATTATGAAAATTATGAGGCTGAATATATTCGTATCAAAGTCTTTGAGCAGTTGGCTATCATTAGGAGAGATAATATTTAGAAATAACAGCTGACTAAAAAACTATAAACCTAATTTTAACACTTGTAAAGATTTCTAGGAAAGCAGCTCCAATAAACAGTCTTGAAAGCCTGTCTTGGGTTGTGGTGTTTAAATTAAAGACGTATTTGATGAAGTGAAGCTTCATGAATGTGTGAGTTGGAACGGATTAAAAGCTATAGCATGTCAGATATGTCACTGGCTTAGAGATGTACCAATGGACTGAGTGTGGTTGATTCATGTAGCTGATGATTTTAGAATCTTTAATGTCATTTATGTATTCCATTATGAAAATGGATTATTGACTAGTCAGTAAGTAGAAATCTGAGTCCTTTTGTTGAGCAGGGCTTAATGTAAAGGCTGAAAGCATAAGAAAAAATGCTTTAAAGAACCTTAAAACTATAATTAAATTATAAAGTCACTTATGGAATGATAGTCTTAAACCCCAACATTTTCCTTTTTCTTTACACTAAATTCCTTGTTTAAGACACTCTGAAAGAGTCTGGTTTTTAAAGTGTTCTATATATATTTACTCACAAA